AATACCAAGCTCATTGTTGCAGCTTTAGTCACTTGAAGCCTCCACTGTTTATATACAAGGTGTGGACATGAAGTAGTTAATGATCAAAGGTACCATGTTTTTGAAAAATGATACTCTTGCTGAATAATGTGCTGGTTGTTTAATGATCTTCCACCATGTTTACTGTGGGAACCCAGCAGTGACTCCTTGCAGCTTCCCAGCTGGCTCCCCCACTGCACATGCACACTGAGCTTTGTGAATGGTCCCGCATCCTTCTGGGTCCTGTGACATGTCCCAGGAGGTTGTGAGCAGGGGAGCATCTGCCTATCAAAATATTCACTCCCTAAAAAAAACAAAAGTGAGAGAGAACGGGGAAGGAGGAGATAAAGAGGAACTTTTCAGGTGGAGCTCCTCTTTAAAGTTAGAGTCTAAAAATATTGCATATAAGTTGTTTTTTCATATTTGTCTTCTTTATGAAAATCCATCCTCTCATTCCTGGAGTGCAGCGCGGCGAGCTGTGGTAAGCTGTGTTCCTTGGACACAGTGCATCACTGATCAGGGTAACGAGTCAATGATGTTGGCTCTTTACCATGTGATCAGCTGTATCCAAACACAGCTGATCACTTGTAAACAAATGTGGGTTATCAGCTTTTCCTTTCCTCAGTGCTGTCACTCTCCGAGGAAAGGAAAGCCGATAATCGGCTTTCCTGTGATGGTTCATTTACACTGATCATCAGTGCCCTGACTATCAATGTAGCCCCATCAGTGCTAATCAGTGTCCATCAATGCTGCCTAACCATGCCCATCAGTGCCACCTTATCAGTGCAGCCTCATCAGTGTCCATCAGTGCAGCTTATCAGTGCAGCTTCATTAGTGCACATCAGTAAAAAAAAAAAATTACTTATTTGCAAAATTTGATAACAGAAGCGAAGAAAAAGGGTTTTTTTTTCACAATGTAGTTTTTTCCTGTTTGTTTAGTAAAAAATTAAATACCCCAATGGTGATTAAATAGGAAAGCTCTATCTGTCTCATAAAAAAGATGCAAATTTCTTATAGGTACAGCTGTTGCATGACCACGCAATTGTCAAAGTGCTATAGCACTGAGCAGGAGGGGGGGTGGGTTGAAAGTGCCTGGTATTGAAGTGGTTCAAATATAAAACAGTGAAGTAGGGTTTCCATGATAAATACAGATATCGGCAATTTAATGATTTCGGTTCTTTTTGTTAACTTCCCTATGATACATTCACCTCTTTTGCTTTCTATTTGGCTGCTGATGCAGTGCTGTCCAATCACAGGCTGGGGGTGGATCTTGGATCAGATTGTATTGCTCAGCTGCAATGTAGTGTGCAGAGAAGTCCAGAATCAATCACTGCAGAGCAGATCACAGCATTTAAAATCTTTTTGGAAATTAAAGATTCCACATACAGTATATGTATTTCTAATGTATGTTTAGCGATTTGGCTATAATGCAAATGTAACATTAGGATTTCAACACTTCTGATGTGACCGAGACGGACTAAGGCTGGCCATACATTATACAATTATCTTCCAAATTTTCTGCCTAATTTCCTTTAGATTTACCTTCAACTGTGTAGTGCAAGGGCCTGCCTAATTGGATACAACTGAAAGTGTTGTTTAGGTTTGTCCTCCTTATTATATGCTTTTTGGTAAATCTAAACCAAAAATCTCCAGATAATTGTATAATGTATGGCCAGCCTTAGGTTAGGCACCATAATCTTGAAGCTCAGCTGCAGCCACTTCATTTTTTTGGGTTTAGATAGGGTATCCTTTTGGACCCATGAAATAATGTTTTATCAGGGAATCCCTTTCTACTAAATACAACTTATTGTTTTCAACACAGAGGAATGATCATTAGTGTCTGTAGGAACCTGAGAGGCAGAAATCAAGGAAAGCACCCTCTGGAGGAACCGTAGGGTTCCATGGAACCCTGGTTGAGAAACCCTGGTTTAGAACCTCTGTCAGGTTTTTTTTTTATTACCATCTGTGTCTCTATTGAAAATGTTCCCATAACTTTTTGTCTGGAAGTGACTATAAATCTGAAAACACATTTTCAGTGGAGAGATAAAAGTTAGAACCTCTTACAACATTTTTATTGCTGTATGTGCCTTCCTGTCCCAGTGACAACCTCACTCCACATTTCTTTTTTGGGCATCACATGGACAGAAAGGATGGAAAGGCTCCATAGTGGAATGGCACACACAGATAAACATTTGACAGGAATGATAAATTATTCCCACTCTATCCCCCAAAAAATGGTTGGAATTAGACTTTAAGCGCTTCCCGCCCGCCATATATAGAAATGACAGGTGCAAGGATGTTCTCTCATTCTGGGAGGACGTCATATGATGTCCTCCTACTCTAACCGCATGTAGCATGGCGATCGGTGGTGCGCTGTGTCTCTGGGACACAGCGGATCACCAATGAACGGAAAGAGCCGAAGACGTCGGCTCTGTCATGTGATTCAGCTGTGTCCAATCACAGCTGATTGCATGTAAATAAGGAAATGCTGGTTATCGGCATTTCTCTCCTCACGAGCTGTCACGCTGATAGCTCGTTAGGGGAGGAGAGACAGTAATCAGCATTACTCAGAGGGGACATCTACACTAATCATCAGGGCACTGATGATCAGTGTGCCCTGATGATCAGTGTAGCCCCATTAGTGCCACCTGTCAGTGTCCATCAATGCCACCTGCCAGTGCCCTACAGTGCCACATCAATGCCACATATCCGTGCCTACCAGTTAACATCAATGCCACACATCAGTGCCCATCTGAGCTGCCTTTCAGTGCCACCTATCAGTGCCAGTCAGTGCCACCTATCAATGCCAGTCAGTGCCGCCTATTAGTGCCGCCTAGCAGTGCCCATCAGTGTCACCTAGCAGTGCCCATCAGTGCTGCCTAACAGTGACAGTCAGTGCCACCTATCAGTGCCAGTCAGTGCCGCCTATCAGTGCCACCTATCAGTGACATATATGAGTGCTGCCATTCAGTGCCCATCAGTGATGCCTGTCAATGCCCATCAGTGCCAACTACCAGTGCGTCCTCATCAGTGGCCATCAGTGCAGCCTATCAGTGCCCATCACTGCAGCCTCATTAGCACACATCAGTGAAGGAGAAAAATCACTTATTTACAAAATTGTATAACAGAAACTAAAACTTTTAGTTGTTTTTGGTTTGTTTAGCAAAAAAAAAAAAAACCCAGAGGTGATTAAATACCACCAAAATAAAGCTCTATCTGTCTCAAAGAAATGATAAAATTTTCATATGGGTACAGTGTTGCATGACCACGCAATTGTCATTCAAAGTGCCACAGCGCTGAAAGCTGAAAATGGGCTTGGGCAGGAAGGGGGTAAAAGTATGCGGTAGGCAAGTAGTTAAAGTGAAAGTGATTTTTTTAAGTGTAGGATAGGGAACACACGATTATTAGTAAGGCTTATCTTTGATGTGAATTCTGCCTCATCATCCCAGGAAGAAAACTTATAAATGCTTTCTGTGTGCTAATATATTTTATTTAGATACATGTAATTTAAAAATGATGTCTAACTCCTATGCTTTACTTTTATGGTTCTCTATTTGTAATGCTCTCTCATTCTGACCTTATTTAGATGGGAATCAAAATGTAATAACAGTATTTAGACTTTCCATGTACTTTGAGGATCACTTCTCTGTACTGAGGCTCCTTTTCAGCTGTATTTTGCATGACTGGTTGTCTGTCATTTTCAGATTAGGTGGAAATGCTATTTTTATAAAGTGAAACAAAAATATGGTAGGGGACCTGTAACTCTGTCAGCTGTACCCAAAGGCAAGCAGAGAGCTGATTAGTAAATCACAACAACCTCTGTTCTTCATGAGTGGTTTTAGAAGGTTAATTATTTGAGAATAGTTACATAGTAATAGTAAAGATTACAAAAAATAAATAAATAAAGAGATTAGCATGGCTGTGGAGGTCTGGCATAGTTAAAGTATATTTAAAGGAAAACATTTTTAATAACTTTTGAATAGAGGGGAGAGGGATTAGAACGCTTGACAGTTTTTATTTCTGTCTGTGTTCCTGTTAAAAAGATTCACCCTCTATTTGCCCTGTTTACCGTTATCATTGAAAGTGAAAGTAAAAGAAACATTTTGGGTTGTCCCGAGAAATGTAATAGAGGGGAAATCTTCCAGTGGTGACACTAGTTCTGGTGACCTGGATGTCCCCAAAGAATTCCCTTAGTTTGCAAGGATTTCCTCTCACCTCCGGTTTGGTTATAGGACATGAAGTGAAGGGAAATCTCTGCAATATAGTTCTACTTTATTTGCGCAAAACCTAGAGTCTTGGAAACACAACATTTTGAGACATTTAACTCATAAGGCAGGGGTGTCATACCTTTTGACTCACCTAGGCCACATTGGAAGAAGAAAAATTGTCTTGGGCCACACATAAAATACACTAACACAAAGGATAGGTGATGAGTAGAAAAAAGTCAAGCAAATCACAAGTTAACCATCACTGATATACGTAGATAATGCACGTAATTTCGTTTACAACAAGTAAAAGGGGGCAATATAAATCTACTAAGATATTTGATATGGTTTTTGATAAACTAACCTATTTTGTCCTTACGACACATTCCGTGATACACCTTTTTTACACGTTTTTGCATATAATTCCTTTTCATATTGTAGTCTTTGAAAACTGCCACAAATTCCCTACAAATTAAAGCGGAACTTTACTCACAGCAACATGATGAAAAATGTTCTTTAACAAGGAACAAACATTCCACATTAATAATTATGCTACCAAAATTAGTGTGTGCTTTAAATTGCTTGCAGCATTGTTCCTATTTCTTCTTGCTGTAGACTGCCATTTTGCTGAACCGTAGAGCCCCTGAACAGCAGTAAATCATAAAGCGGAACTAAATCAATTGATTAACAGTTTAAGAAAACAGTTACATTGCTGGAATTCCAGGATTGCTAAATGTCACTGCTTGTTTGCTCAACCAAACATCAAATGGCTGGTGCAGGGGCGGACTGACCATTTTGAAACTCGGGCACTGCCCAAGGGCCCGGGGTCAGTAGGGGGCCCCAAGAGATGCCGCTGGTACCTTTTTCATAGGCTTTTTTGAGTTTGGGCAAGGACACGGGCCCCATGATCCCCTATTGCCGGGGGCCCCATGAGTTGTCAGTCCACCCCTGGGCTGGTGTCATAACTGATCACATGTCCAACTGAGGGTGGCAGGGGATGAGATGGGAGGGAGGGGATGGAATTATGTAAAATTTGCTATGGAAATTGTATGATTTTAATGTGCGGAAAATTGTTGTATTTATAATATAAAATTAATAAAAATTGAATTAAAAAAAAAAAACTGATCACATGTGCAGCACTATGGCAGTTGCAGATCAAACAGAAGTAGCTTCCTTGGCTGTAAAGGACAGGGTGGTTTCATTCCACTCAAATGGAAATGGAACTTTAGTCAGAAAGTAAGTCTTGCTATATTACCTCAGGCTGGCCCCTTTTGTGGGTATAGTTATGCAAAACATTAAAAATAAGTGCCTATACTGTTTAAAATTCAGTAATATTCTGTTTCAACCTGATCTGCACATGCTCAGTCGCTCTCCATTTTTAGGACACTGTCGAATTTGTAAAGGCCGATCTGCTGACAACCTTAAAGTGGAACTTTACTCATAACAATTAATAGAAAATGTTATTTAGCAAGGAACATACATTCCACATTAATAATTATGCTACCAAAATTAGTGTGTGCTGTAAAAAAAATTGTCTTCACTTCTACTTTGCATTTGCACAAGCAACATAATATTTCCAAAAATTACAAAATACATTGATGTTCTGTAGATATGGAAAACCTTATCAGTTTAGCAGAGAGCTTTGCACTGCAGGCTGTCAGGTACAGCTTCCCTTCCTGCAAGGAGTACACTGAACAGCATAATAATGACATCACCAAATCTCACCACTAATATGGTAAGACTAGCAGTCACAGGTAGCATTACCTTAGATGACCTCGCACTGCAGATATACAACTATGATGTCATAGTAAAGAAGTGCAAAGCAAAATCACGTCAGGAAGAATTCAAGACAAAAGTTTCAATTCTCATAGTATTGCTAATCCACAATTAACACTTCTAGATGTTCTCTATAAGATGGCAAAGCTTTACTTTAGGCCCCACCCACATAACATGAAGATGGGAAAAATATCACAAACACAGAGACATAAATGTAAAACTGTAAGAGCTGAATCAATAAGGTGACCTGTAAAGGTACTATAATAAAGTACACAGCCCTTGGATACTGACAGTCTCAAGAAGCATCTGTTTGTCTTAACTTTACTCTAACCAGTCATTTCAAAGGACCTTAAGAGAATTGTAGAGACTCATAAAGCTGGAAACTGCTTATAAAAACACTTATAAAGGCCTGGGTTTTCGATTTACACAAAGACAAACTGTCTAAAAACTCTTCTAGTAGCTCTTCTTCAACTCTCTCTAGAAGTGGGCATTCTGCAAAGATCACAATGATCGCATAGAATGCAATACTTAAGAAGGTGAAAAACAATTCTGTTCTATTGCAGAAACCTCCTAAGCTTGCTAAAGCCTCCACTTGTGTGTCCAATAAAATAAAAGCACTGAACAAAAGGGGAAAAGTGCTATGGATAGACACTTCAGAAGAAATCTTTTCTCTTCAAAATAGTTTTAAAATATTGCTGCAAATTTCAAATATATAAAATACCTTCTAGACCAGCCATTCTCGACCAAGGTTCCATGGAACCCAGTGGTTCCTCCAGAGGTTGCTAGGGGTTTCTTGAGCTGCGGCTGATTGATCTCCCATTGATGGTGCATGCATAATTCCAGGATCAACATCACTTGGTAGATCCAGATGCATGGCACCAATGATCATTTTTAGTGCCCGTTCACATATATGCGGATTGGATGTGGTCTGAACCGCATCCAATCCGCATGACATGTGAAAAAACATTGCTTCCTATGGTGCCTGTTAACATATGTCTGGTTCACTGGCGGTGCGGATTCAGTGCGGTTGTACAAAGAGCCATGTCTGATTTCTGAGCAGTGCGGTCCAGTTCAGGTACGGATTACATGCTATGATTTCTATGAGAACCATTTCTAAACCGCATATGTGTGAACAAGATAAGATCCTGAGCTAATTATGTCCTGAACCTGATGTAAACCTGACATAAACCTGTGAATAACTACTGTATCAATTAGCTGTGAAACCTAAGCTTCAATCCGCACCGCATATATGTGAATCAACTCTGAGCTGTCTGTAAGGGTGACATACTGACCACCGCTGTAACAGGGACATTCTTCCCACTGACCGCCCGTATAAGGGGAAATTCTTCCCACTGACCACCAATGAACTGGTTTTAGTAAGGTTCCCAAAGACCTGAATATTATTTCAGGAGTTCCTCTGCAGTTACAAAATTGAGAAAGGCTGATCTAGAGTAGACTTTCTATAATGTGTCAGGGATAATGTTCTGATGCTGGATGAGGGAAACATTTATGCAAATGCACTATAGAGTGCTGAAAAGCAACATATAGTGGGGAAAATAATGATTTGATCCCCTGCAGATGTTGTAAGTTTGCTCACTTAGAAAGAAATGAAGGGTCTATCTTTTTATCATAGGTGTATTTTAAATGATGGAGACAGAATATCAGTCAAAAACCCAGAAAAAACACATGATACAAATGTTACAGATTGATTTGCAGTTCAGGGAGTAAAATAAGTATTTGATTGCCAAGCAAAACATGACTTAGTACCTGGTGGAGAAACCCTTGTTGGCAAGCACAGAGTAAGACATTTGTTGTTGGTTACTAGGTTTGCACACATCTCAGGAGGGATTTTTGTCCACTCTTCTTTACAAAACTTCTCTAAATCGGTTCTAAAGGCTGAAGGTTTTTTCACCTTCATGCATTCCTTTCATGAAGGTAAAAAACCTTCTCTGTGCAAGATTCCCCCCCCCAGCCCCCCTGAATACTGACCTTAGCCACCTCTCGATCCAGCAATGTGCACTGGAGTCTCAGCTGAGATTGGCTGAGATGAAAGCGGTAGCCATTGCCTCCCACTGCTGTCAATCACAGCCAGTGAGCCAATGAGAAGAGAAAGAGGGGACCGAGCCGCGGCTCTGTGTATGAAAGGACACATGGAGCAGCAGGTGCCCCCATAGCAAGTTGCTTGCTGTGGTGGCACTCGATGAGAGGGAGGGCCTAGGAGCACTGGCGAGGGATCCGAGAAGAGGAGGATCCGGGCTGCTCTGTGCAAAACCACTGCACACAGCAGGTAAGTATAGACATGTTTTGTTATTTTTTCTTAAAAAAAAAAAAAAAAAAATCCTTTAGAATCACTTTAGGGTTTCTTGGCTGTTGCTTTGCAATTCATAGGTTCAGCTCCCTCCTTACATTTTCTATAGGATTGAGGTCGGGAGACTGGCTAGGCCAATCCATGACCTTAATGTGCTTCATCTTGAGCCACTCCATTGTTGCCTTGGTGGTATGTCTTGGGCATTGTCATGCTGAAAGACCCAACCATGACCCATCTTCAATATTCTGGCTGAGGGAAGAAGGTTCTCATCCAAGATTGTAAAATACATGGCCCCCTCCATTGGCCCCTCTGTGCAGCAAAGTCAGCCTGTACTTTAGCAGAGAAAAAGCCCCAAAAAATAATGCTCCCACCTCCGTGCTTGACTGTAGGGATGGGGGTCATAGTCAGCATTTTTCTTCCTCCAAACATGCGAGTTGAGTTAATGGCAAAGAGCTCGATTTTGGTCTGATCTGCCCACAGCATTTTCTCCCAAACCTTCTCTGAGTCATTTAGAAGTTAATTGGCAAACTTCAGATGGACCTGTACAATTGCCTTCTTGAGGAGAGGGATCTTGTGGGCACTGAAGGATACAATCCATGGCGGTGTATTGTGTTACTCCTTGTGTCTCCTTCTCACCAAGCTTTTTGCTGATGGTCTTGTAGCCCATTCCAGCCTTGTGCAGGTCTACAATCTTGTCCCTGACATCCTTTGACAGCCTTTTGGTCTTGCCTATGTTGGTGCCCAAGAAAGAGATTCTGTGGACAGGGGTCTTTTATACACATAACGAGTTGTCGTTAGGAGAATCTTATTAAATTGACAGGACTAATCTGTGTACGACATGAGCACATAGCCAGTCTGTGGGAGCCAGAATTATTGTTGGTTGGTAGAATATCAAATATATATTTTACTCACTGTACTGCAACTCAATTTATAACATTTTTATCATGTATTTTTTCAGGATTTTTTGGTTGATATTCTGTCTCTATCATTTTAAAAATCCACATATAATAAAAATTATAGACCTTCATTTCATTGTAAGTGGGCAAACTTACAAAATCTGCAGGGGATCAAATCATTATTTTCCCCACTGTATGCCAAAAAAAACTCTACTTAAAGTGATTGTAAATGCTCTATTTTTTTAAATTAAAATACCAAACATGTTACACTTACTTGCTGTGTGCAATGGTATTAAACAGAGCAGCCCCAATCCTACTCTCCTGGGGTCCCCTGCTAGCGCTCTTGGCTTGCTCCCTGTGCCAAGTGCCCCCTTAGCAAGCTGCTTGCTATGGGAACACTCGTGCATGCTTGCATATGAGCTCCAACTCTATGTGTCCATTGACACACATAGCGGAACTTGGTCCCACCGCCCTCTTCCTCTGCACTGCCTGTGCTTGACGGGAGTCTGCTGTCTCTGAGCCTGTGAGGTGTGGGAGAGCGCCAACAAAGCTGCTGCTCTTGTGCACATCGCTGGATCAAGATCAGGCTCAGTTAAGTATAGGGGAGTTGGGGGGGCTGCATTCAGAAGGTTTTTTACCTTAAACCGATAGTAAACTCAGCTACTGTAATCCTAAATAAACATAAATACAATAGGCTAACTCTTCATAATATACATCATGTTATTTCCCACTAAACCTATTATAATGTTTTTCTGGCTCACTTTCATTTCTCATTCTCCTGGCTGATGCCTGCACCATCTTGGTTGACACATTTTCGCCCTTTTTCTAGTATCTAGCAAATGTGCATTAGGAATTAGCCAAGCCTCATTTTCATTCTTAGTTACAATGGCAACATAGCCATGTATACTTGTGACAATTCACAAAGGTCAGCAATCTCGCGATATTTCAATGCAAGTGCTGGTGATGAACTTACGGCAAGAGGAGGTATAGAATGACAAAACACTGATGGATTTGGGGACATATCATGCATGCGCTGGTGACGTCACTAAATGAGCCAAAGTAAACATCAGGCTAAAGAGCATAAGTGAGGTTGGTGTACTAGACAGTAATGAGTAAGTTATAG